AAAAAAAAATAAGTAAAAGTTTGAAGGAGCTCATCAACAGGCCCTGAATATTATAGGCAACTCATGCTCGAAAGCTCGAAAGGGAAAATCCAATGGGAATGCAGAACCTGGAAAAAAAATGGAGTCCTGATATGAAATATCCCTTGTCCCCAACGTCTACGCGTCGGCGTCTCCTTTCGGTCAATTTTTTTTTATTCCCCGAAGAATATAAAATAAAAAGTTGGATTATTTTTTGGTACAAGCAGAACAGAAAGAAGGGGCTAGCGCGTGCTGCCGATGTTTTGCCAACTGCGTCTCCTCTCTCCTCTCCTCCCTACGCAACCGCCTCTTGATGCTTCTCCAACTCGCTTCACGTCTCCTCCTCCGCCTTAAACGCATAGCAGATCTTCCTCCTCCTCCTCCTCCTCCTCTTCATCTCCTTCAAGTAAGTATCTAATTTCCTCCATCGCGAATCAATGTGTTCATAATCTTCACTGTTCCCTCAGATCGAATCATCCTTTGTGTTTGCTCTTTTCTTTTTTCTTTTTTTTAATTTCTGCAGAGTTTTGGAGATTATTTTAGTTTGATGATCTGTTAGCTGTATGTTTACTTCTATTCTAAAGATAATTGTTTGGCATAATTTTTAATTTTTTTTCTTTTATTCATCGGACTATCACGTAACATATTCATTAATGCCAATCCATTATACAACATAGATTTTAGCAATGCAATGCAATGTAGTTGGGCTTACTGATCCGAATAAGAGGATAGAAAGTTACAAACAAGTTGAGACTCACAAATAAGACTTTTACAACAAATTTTTCTAAACAAAACCTCTATCAAAATTAAGCTCTAACCACACTAAAGAGGCTCTTAACCTCCTAACTTTTCCCAAAGAAATATGTCGAAACAAAAGCATAAAAGCAAACCTGCTTTTTCTGAGCCTCCGGTAGAACATCATCCCATCTATACCTATCAAAGATGAATATAAAAATTGTTGGGACTCCTAAACCCACTTTCCATCCATATTTATCTAGCATCTGAGCCGTTGCTGTGAAAGCAATTATAACAGAAAGGGAGGATATCTCATGGTCGAACATACAGAACCTCTCTAAGACCCTCTCACGTTCTGAATTTCTTATTGCTTCGATTTGGTCTGCTCCGAACGCCAAATGAAGTGAATAGAAGAGTTAACTGCTGTTGGGGATACAGCTTTGAGTTGAAGGATTGTAATGGTTCCAATATTCTGATTCTGGAATCATGGCTGTTAATCATGAAAGAAACATCCCCTGTACAATTCAAAATTCAGCATGATTCCATTGAAATAAGTATAGGCAATCCATGCAGCTCAATTTGACTATGTGGCACAAGGCATAAGCGCATTAATTTTTAATACCTCAAGCAAATTAAGAAAATAAAACATATTCCGGTGCAAGGCATATTACTGATGTTATCCCTACAGAAAGAATTACCTTTTTCAAGTATGATAAAGTGTAACAGATAAATAACTGGATGGATAGGTTAAGGGGAAAGGTTTTGCCCAAGATAAAAAAATTTTTTTAGAACAACAAAAATGGTGTAGCAATCAAATGAGGGCTTAATCATTTTATGCATAAGTCCTATACAAAAGATAATTGCACCTTTATGTTGGTCTAGGTGATGAAAAACAAAGAATCCTGAGATGGTCAACAGGTTCATAAACAGACAGGATGCTAGTGAGAAGAAATGTGTATATTATTATAAAATAGAATCAAAAATATTTTTTTGAGGAGGCAAAACAAATCTTTGACTAAGAAATCGTGCATAGATGGAAAATAATGCAGAAAATGAAGCAAAAGCATATATAAAAGGCAACCTGTTTTCTCTGAGCCTCCTGTAGAACATCATTCCTTCCAAGTTGTTGAGCATCCGTAGGACATCATTCCTTTCAAGCAAGAAGGATGTTCTACAGGAGGCTCAACAACTTGAAAGTCTTGCTTTGTCTCTTCTTTCTCCATTTTCTGCTTTTCGCCTTCTCCCCATTTCCAATATATATCCTAACTTTCTTTTGACCTGTTTGGCTATTCCTAAATTAATTTCCTAACTTTTCTCCTGATTCCTAACTTAATCTCCTAATTTTTCTCCTAACTAACTTATTCCTAAGGAAATCAATGCTTATCAATACTTAA